TTGGAAATCTAATTGTAGGTTTAGATGTAATTTCCTCTATCTTAAATTTGAAATTGATAAAACTAAACATCTTATTTATGTAAGAGGAAATTACACTAAGCCCTACTTTTAAATTACCATTTTCATAAATCCTGATTCAAGTTTCATATTTCAAAAATCAGGTTTTAATTAATAATTTAAAAATATTTTTTATTTTTATTTTTATATCTATTTACAATAAATTCATTTATATAACTCCCCCAACCCTATCTATCTCAAACCCTAAATCAATTCCCTCAACCTCTCAGCTCAATTCCGCCGCCCGTCTCTCCGCACTACGCCGCCGCCGCCGCCGCAATTGGATCTTCTTCCTCTTGTCTCCCTCTCTTGTATTCACTATTTTCCCGTCTCTTTCCCTAGATTTTAGCTGATCCAACCGTTTCTTCGCTCTACCTCACCGTTCTTCTCTCCCGGATCCAATCTTTTTTTAAACCGTCGCCACGATGTCGAATCGTCTTCCCCTCATTTCGCTCTCGTCTGTCTTCTCCCATCTCTTCAAATCCTCACATTGTCATAAAACAGGCTAACATGCAGAATCCCAGTTGATATTTTCAGCTTGAGTTCTATTTTACACCTTAATTTGAGTTATAACACGCTGCCAGTGTTTCGGGTGTGGAGGTGCAGGCGACTTTCGTGGTTGTGGATCTATTTTTTTTTTTAGTTTCGAGTTTGAGGCATTTCGGGTGTGGAGGTGCAGGCGAAGTTCGTGGCTGTGGATCTATTTTTTTTTCTTTTTTTAGTTTTAAGTTTGATTTATTGGATGGGTATGGTGGTTGTATGGTTGATGTTTGTCGGTGTTTGCTGTGGTGGGTTTTCAGTCGAAGGGTGGTGTTGGTGGTGGATCGGGCATTGCGAAGTGTGGATTTGAAGTTGGTGGCGACAGTGGTTGTGTGTTATGTGTGTGTTTGTTTTGGCTGTGCGTGTGGCGATGGGGGTCTAGGGTGGTGATAGTGGTGTTGGGGAGGGTGTGGTGTTGGTTTTTGAGATATTGATGGTGCCACTGGTGGAGGCGGTGGCGAAGTGATGGTCACAAATGATTTTAGTGATGGTCGTTGGTTGGTTGTTTGTGACCACTAATTTGATTGGTCGGCGATCAATAAACGATATGTGACAAATGAATTAGATAAAATGTGACCATTACATGATGTGTGACCTAAAAATTATTAATTGTGACCAATAATTTGATAAATTGTGACCTAAATATAATTTATATTCAATTAAAGTGATGTTTGTGATCTTATATAAGTATTGTGACTTATAAATTTTGTGAACTGTGACCGATNAGTGGTGGTCAGAATGATTGCCGAAATAATCTCCGGAGCGGTAGGAGTAGTGCATGTGTGGTTGGTTTATTATATTATATTATATTATATTAGAATTTAAAAAAAAAAAAAAATCTGATTTTTGAATTTTCAAACTATAAACCTGATTTTTGAATTGATGTAAAGTAAACACTTTATTTATGAATTTTTTTCCTTTACGTAATTTTCCCTTTGCGATTTTGTCTCATTCATGGGCTGAACATCTGGCCCATTATACAAACTAACAACATTCAGAACCCGAATCCGAATGACCTCCTCCAACATATACACATCGACACTATCACCCGAGTTCAAACTCAAACTCAGACGCACTCAACAATAGGGAGAGAGAGAGAGAGAGAGAGAGTGAGAGAGAGAGAGAAGAAGAAGCAGAAATGGCGTCAAATGCAGCAGTGCCGTTTTGGAGGGCGGCAGGGATGACTTACATAACCTATTCCAATCTGTGTGCAAACCTGGTGAGGCAGTGCCTCAAGGAGCCCTACCGCTCTGAAGCCTTGACCCGGGAGAAGGTCCACTTTACCGTCTCCAAATGGGTCGACGGCAAACCAGAGAAACCCAGTAATCTATTTTCTCTTCCGATTATTCTCTCGTTTTTTATTCTATACTGTGATATCTGTTCCGGTGATTCAGATCTGCTTGGTTTGGATATTAGTTTTTACATTTTCTGATTATTTGATTTCTCGATGGGATTTTTTTATTGAATCTAGACTTCATAAATAGCAAATTTTGATTACATATTGATATGGATTATTCCTAGTATATGTAAAATGAACTAAATTGATGTGAAATGTATACTGTGGCTTGTTTTGGGGAAAGTTTCTGAGATTTGAATATGTCGATGCTAGTAGTAGTTTGTATTATAACACTTACGTTATTTGCACAAAATTTCATATACAAGTGCCTTCTGCTTTGAAAGGCATGATTCTCTCCAGGGATCTCTTTGTTTTTGATCGTTTTCTTGAGAACCGAATATTATTTGTTACTATTATTATTTTGATATCAATGAAATAGAATGAGAATCAGAAACAAGCGAAGTGAATACATACATTTATAGTAGTGCACTCTCAATGTGAGGGCGGGTGACGTTTGATTGTTGATGAAGGTTGTTTATACCGTGGAGTCCAAGATTAAATTTTTTTCCCCTCAAACTTCTTATACACCCAGCACTACACCTTAAAATTCTTTATATAGACGATCTAATACATGTATATAATACTTAATATTGGGTGAATTTATGGTTGAGGGATAAGTGAACAACATGATTAGGCTCCATAGAGTCCAAGATTATTGGCAAAATGTGAAAAGCTTCTGGCTAGTTATAGAAATTAGGAAGGTGGAATGGTGTTTTTCTGGTCATGGGAAGTTCTATAGTTGTATTTGTAGTAATTTCTGGCTTAAACGGAATTAAATTTAATATATGGTATTATTATGGTTAAAATCATTGTTCGACAAATGATAACTAGTAGATTATTTTTAGTACGATGAAGATTTTAACTTCTTTTTCTTCCTTACCAAATGTATAATTAGGGTCTTGTACTTTCTTTTTTGGACATTTTTGTTTGTATTATTAGTTTGAATCATCATTTTGGTATCTATTTATGAATTCATTTTTCTTTCTTCTAAATACTTGTCATTGACTTGTTTTCTCAGCCGTTCGTTCCGATACTGGTGAAGAATGAGGATGGATATACAGCGTTTAGTGCTTTGTGAAGCTTATTCCTGCTGGAGGATCTTCTTTTTCAATATATTTTTTTTCCCAGCTTCGAACTTTAGGGGTTATGAACTATTGCACATTAGACGGTTCTTGTTTGCTGAGTTTTCACTAAATCTCACATGTAATAACGTAACCTTCTGTGACCTAGTTTGTACTGCTCCTTTGTTGGCTCTGAATGAATAATCTTTCTTCTTTATTTTCTACTCTGCTAGCTAATTTGGTAAGTTTGTCACCATCGTTATTCTTAAGCAGTGTAAATATCCTCCCCCTTTCAGGGTTGGTGTTGGAGTTCTCACTGTTTTGGTCTTTCCTCCGCGTTCTCAACTAGTGAGGTTGTTACCTAGACAGATGACCTACCCACTCACTACCATCTGCACCCATGTTGTCGGGTGGGGGTTGTGCTCTCTCTTTCCTCAGCAGTTGTAAGAGCTCTTGGCTATTCTGACATTGGTCGACTCCCAAAGTCAGTACCCCGACGTGTTTAAACAAGGAGCTTGAATTATCATAAAACAAAAGCTGTTTGTTCGTTGCTTTGACGACAGCCAAGTGAAATATTGATTGTTTGTTGACCCTAGTGAATTGGATCGAACTGACTGAGTTTATGCCTCGTGGATTCAATCATGAAAATTAAGCGTACGTCATGCTTTGGTAATAAATAAATTGATTCCTCGCTCGAATTGCCTCGATTGTGAACTCCAAAGTAAGATTCATCCCATGCCTTCTTGAGAGTCAAGTCGAAGTCTAATGTCTGATTCAATTTCTTTTCTAAATTATTAACAGCCGCTCAGAGGGACCTTTAACCACCAAAATTAGCTATCAAATCCAAGGACAATTTGATGTTGGAAGTCAGAATGAAACGAGGAAGAACTTGTGGAGCTTAAACGTTTTTTGCATTCTTTATTTTTCGATGTTTTCATGATCAACTGTACATCATTAGCAGCATTTTGGGGTTTGGGGGGTGGGCAATCTGCTTCTAAGCTCGTCCCTGCTGCAAATTTTATTATTTTCAGAAATCATTTTGTCCTGTTCAGTGCTTAGTGCCAAAAAAGCTGGAAAAATCAACTTATAAGCAGGGTTGAACGTGCTATATGATTGGAAGAGTATCCTTGGTCACAGTCAAAATGCTGTTTTTTCTCCATTGATTTTTGATCGACGGCCAAGTCTATGGTCTGTATATGACTAATTACTCATACTTTGACAGCATCATACGATGTGATTTTTAAATTCCACCTAATACTGCTATATTCTCCTTCATCTGAGGCCTGAGCAATTCTTATTATAGTCTCCTTAATACCAAATCCTCATTTTTAAATTTGACATGAGTCATCTGCTGACCTTAACTTCATTTTCAGCAATACTGCAGGAGAAGAAATTTTATCCCTTGCAGTTTCCTGGAAAGTACTCGCAGTAGACCCTGATACACGATAGCTCATGATTCCAATCTTTTTCAGAATACATTATCTACTTTATTGAAATGCAAATTTACTAAAGAAATAAATTATATAAGAAAATGCTATTAAAAATAAATTAAGAAATAACGATAGAGTTTACTTTTACCTATTCAAAATCCTGCAGATTAAATGTATCTAAATATAATTGGAATTTGCAGGTGGCGGTGCAAATGATGCCATTAAAAGAAATAACGGTCTTTGTAAATTTCTCTTGAAAGATTTATGAGGTTTTCTACTTGTAAGAAAATATAAATCAAGAAGTAATGTACTTGCACAACCATGGCAGAAAATATATCTAAAATTTTCTTCTATGTTTTGAGCTTCAACTTTTTACGCCTAAAGCTTTATGTCTCGGTCTCGTTATATTTTAGTCTACTTCTTTCGTGTAAAGCACAAACGAACAGCACCTTTCAAGTAGGTGTGGTTCTTGATTCGGATTCACTTGTAGGGCGTATTGGACTGAGCTGCCTGACGATGGCTCATTCTGATTTTTACTCAGTTCACAGCAACTTCACCACAAAGCTGGTTCTCCATGTTAGGGACTCAAAGGGACAAATCATCGATGCTGCTGCTTCTGGTATTTAGTCCTCGTCCCTTATTTTTAGTGTATGCATTGCTCAAACATCTGTTATATATGATCACCTTCATAGTTAATTTATTCCAATCTTTTTACACGGATGCGCAGCACTTAGTTTGTTGAAAGATGTAGAGGTGGACGCCATAATCGGTCCTCAGAAATCTGGGCACACCAATTTTGTAATTGGTCTCGGAGACAGAGCACATGTTCCAATCATTTCTTTCTCTGCAACTAGTCCTCTTCATCCACAAACACCCTATTTTGTTCAAACAGCCCTGCGCGATGAGACTCAAGTTGTGGCCATTGCTTCTCTAGTTAGAAACTTCGATTGGAGCCAGGTTGTCATCATATACGAAGATTCAGAATATGGTAATGGTATCATTCCTTATCTGTCCAATGCATTTCAAGATGTCGATGCTCGAGTTTCGTACAGAAGCATTATACCTCTGTCTGCAACCGATGAATTTTTGCTCCAAGAGTTGTATAAGATGAAAACTATGCAGACAAGGATATTTGTGGTGCACATGTCAAGTTCCATTGCTTCTAGACTCTTTCCAAAAGTCAAGGAAGCAGGAATGATGAGTGAAGGCTATGCATGGATTATAACCAGTGGACTGATGGATCTACTCTACTCGATGGACTCTCATGTTGTGGATAGTATACAAGGAGTGCTGGGCGTAAAACCACTTATTCCAAGATCCAGAAAACTCAGGTCTTTTGCTAATAGGTGGAAGCAAAAGTTTCTCAAGGACAATCCTAGCATTTTACAAGCAGAATTAAGCCTTTTTGGTCTATGGGCTTATGACACTTTATGGGCATTGGCTATGGCTGCAGAGAGAGTTAAATTCAGCGAGCCAAATTCTTTACAAAACACAAGTGCCATCAATTCTTCTGCAGACCTTTTTACTCCTGCAATGTCAAAAACAGGTCCAAAAATTCTCAAAGAATTGTCTCATATTACTTTTCAAGGACTTAGTGGGAACTTCCGTTTAGTTAATCGACAAGTAGAGCCATCATCGTTTCAAATACTTAACGTGGTCGGAAATGGCGAGAGAGAGGTTGGAATATGGACACCATCTTGGGGAATTTCAAGCAAAGGCGACATCAACGTTACAAATTCTTCAAAGAAGAGTTTGAGGGGCATAATATGGCCAGGAGAATCAACAGTGGTACCCAGGGGATGGGAGGTTCCGGCAAGCGGTAAAAAGCTTAGAATTGGAGTCCCAGCTGAAAGTGGATTTACTGAATATTTGAAAGTGAAAAGGGATCCTCAAACTAATGCTTCCAAAGTTACTGGATACTACATAGACGTATTTAATTCTGTGATGGCAGCACTTCCATATGCTGTGCCATACGAGTATGTTCCTTTTGAGAAATCTGATGGTTCAAGTGCAGGGAGTTATGATGATCTTGCTTATCAAGTTTTTCTGCAGGTATGTAATATAAGGGAAAACTGCAACATTGTTATCAATATATTGTTCAAGTATCTAGTTGTTCTCCACTTTATTAAAAGGAGCAAGTTGGTTCTCAATCATCCATTATATTTGCAAAATCAGTCCTCAACAATGAAAATCATCTAGATCTTGGTTAGATCATCACTTGACCCTCATATGTCCATCTTTTAAAGAGAGATTTTTATTCCAACTATGACTAGTGCTCAAAAATTAGAAGTGAGAGGTGTTTATGTGAGGATGGCACAGCGATTTAACTAACATTTATACGCTCTCAGTCACTGGGTATTGACAGTGCAAAAAAAAAAAGGTTTTGAGACCTAACTTGCTACTTTTTAGAGATTGGGAACCACTTTGCTACTCAAACAATACACTGGGGACAGATGGTACACTTTTTTTTCTTAAAACAAGGGTTGATTCATTTACTTTATAACTTGATTGCTATTCTATTCCTCTGCCTGCCATTATTTTCATGTGTCTTCTGGTTGATGGTGTTAGAACTATGATGCTGTAGTGGGGGACATAACAATCACTGCTAACCGATCAAAGTACGTAGACTTCACTCTACCATTTGCAGAAGGAGGAATAAACACTATAGTGCCAATCACATATGATGATCCGAATGATAATTGGATTTTCTTGAAGCCTCTTACAAAAGAATTGTGGTTAACAGCAATAGCATTATTTGTATTGACTGGCGTGGCGCTCTGGATTCTTGAACATAGGTTTAACAACGCCTTCCGAGGTCCCCCTTCACAGCATGCTGGCATGATCTTTTATTTTCCCTTCATGTCATTAGTATTCGCACAGAGTAAGTAAATTATTCATCTTTAATTCTAAAAACTATGTACTCTCTGTTAGCTTTTGATGAAGCGCTTCATCTAAAAGTTTAAGCTACTAGATAGAGGGCATATGAATGAATTCAAATTTTGGTTTGCATGCCCCCACACGTGCAGGTTACATTCATTTTTTTTTATCAAAATCCTGACACAATCACAATTTTCATAAATGTGAGATGACGAGGCTTGCACTTCAAGTTGAACCATCAAATAAAAAAGCTTAAGCTATTTTCAAATTATGTTTTCAACAGCTTTTACTCACAGACCTCACTTCGACTTGTAGGAGAAAGAATAATGAGCAATTTAGCTCGGTTGGTAGTGGTTGTCTGGATGTTTGTTGTACTGATATTGAACTCAACTTACACTGCAAGCTTGTCAGCAAGATTAACAGTACAAAGACTACAACCGGCGATTACAGATGTGAAGGAGCTTATTAAGAACGGAGACTATGTAGGATGTCGAAAAGGCTCATTCGTTGTTCATCTCTTAAAGGATCTTGGGTTCGAAGAATCCAACATCAGGAGTTGCAACCATCCAGAGGATTGTGATGAAGCCCTGGCTAAAGGAAGCAAAAATGGTGGTATATCAGCCCTTTTCTCTGTAATGCCTTACGCCAAGCTCTTCTTAGCCAAGTACTGTGATAAGTACACTACAGTAGGCACCACACATCGTTCAGAGGGTTATGCATATGTAAGCATCTTTCTTTTCAAGATTTCATGATAGTTAACTCTGAGATGGTTGGCAATAAAGAAGTTTCCTTCTCTATTTGCAGTATCTATCATGTTACTAATCATCTCGTAGGTTGTCTAAATTAACAGGTTTTCCCAAAGGGATCGCCTTTAGTTGCTGACGTTTCTCGTGCCATACTTGAGTTGACAGAGAACGGCAGGATTTCAGAACTCGAACGACAATGGATCAAGAATCCGACGTGTAGACCTGATGGAACTTTTATATCAAGCAGTATCTCATTGAAAAGTTTCAAAACACTCTTTGGTATCACCGGGGGGATCACTGCAGCATGTCTTTTTGCTTTCTTGATTACTTATTTATACAAGAACAGAGATTTTATCCGGGGGATTTCGAAGTCTAGCGCCACAATTTTTTCTAAAATTCGTGCAATTTGCAGGCATTTTGATCAAAGGGACCCTAGATATTGTGGTTCTAAAGAAAATGCATCAACAACTTTCCCTGGAAATTTTGGGCCAGGTGTAGTAGTCCCAATCTCAGTGGAAGAAATGAATGATTCCACTAGGGACATTAGCCCGAACTCACAACAGACAGCTGCTGCTGCAGACCAGTCAACTGTTTAATATTGTTCAATGTATGTGAGAACTCTCTCTTCAGTGAGAGTCAAAATAGGCTTTGTTTGACAAATTTTTTGATACGTGAAATCCATGAAATGTATTGTTCAAATTAAAGTTTGATAATCACTTGGGAAATTCATACTTTCTTTCCTAAAAGGAAGAAACTTGTAGACAATTGTGGGATCTTCATGCAGCAATTTTTCGTTAATCTTGTAATTTCATTTTTTATTTTAACCCGTGTTATTTATTTTAATTGATTTTTATTGGTTTTAATAGCGATTTTTAAAACTGTCCAACCTATACTTGAAAGTTTTTTAAAGAATAAAATTACATATATATCCCTTAGTAAATTTTTTAGTTTATTGTTTCTTATATGAATTTTTTTCGTCATAAGTGATATTTTAGTTATAGGTAATTTTTTTACATATAAGTTAATATTTTTAACTTAAAAAATTAAATATTTACCTAAAATTTTAAGTTAATATTATACTTTTAAATAATTTTAATTGAGTTTTTTTACTTATACGTAACTTTTTCTATTTATAAGTGAATTTTTATCTTATTAGTAGTATTTTTATTTTATAAACAATTTTTTTTTTACATAAAAGTGGTTTTTACTTATAAGTATTTTTTCAATTATTATGTAATTTTTCTTATCTTATAAGTAATATTTTTCTTATAAGTATTTTTTAATTATAATTTAATTTTTTTTATAAATAATTTTTTAGTTAATATATTTTTATTTATAAGTTAGTTTTGAAGAAAATATGTCGATTGGAAATAATTATCTTATAAAGGGTAAAATTAGAAGAGAATATGAGAAACGGTCAAAACTCGCTAATTGATGGGTTAAGAAAATCGGTCGAAATTACACCACACCGATTTTGGGCGATTCTTAAACCATCCGAAATTAGTGCTCAAAAAAACTAGCAAACACCGATTTTTCCAACCATTTATAAACGGTGACATCCAAAATTGGTGAAAAGAAAACTCCCAAGCATGCCCTAAAGAGTTTCTTGGAGCACCGACTATTTTAAGGGTCGATTTTTTAAAATAGAGAGTATCTCATGTTTAAAGAGTCTATTGGAAGTGTTCTAATTTAATTAACAATTTTTTTTTTACACAATTTTTTTTTTTTAGAATAAAATTAAAATAATATGTTGGACGAGAAAATACTTGTGCTGTGATGATTTAACTAAAATATTAAATAAATGTTATTTATGAAGATGAAATATATAGCGTTTACTTAAATAAATTTGTAGTTTAAACAAAAGCACATTTATAATTATGTTGTCAGACAATCAATTTTATTTATAGCACTTTTTGAATTCACGAACAAATTACTAACAACTATGGAATATCATCAAATTTTGAAGGATTAGCTTACACATACATAAAATTTTATGTACATAATGATATCCACACGCCCACTTCAGATAAAATATAATATATCCAAAACGGATTCCCCAAATTTCATGGATCTTGCCATATTCACGGTGGATAAATGAAAATATCGAAATAAACATTAAGAGCTCAAAGGAAAAAGTAAAAACCTGACAAAAATTGATTTGCTCAAGTGCAAAGCAATATTTAAACAATTTGGTCAAAAGAGAAGTACAAAGGAAAGAGCAGTTCACCAAATCCAAAACGTTCAACTTCTTAAATTAACGCAAGCATGATAGGCACAACTTCTAAAACCCTAAACAATGGCAACAAAATATGAAACCATAATATGCTTCAATCTACCAAAAACAATGATAGTACATACATCCCTTCATTACGAACAGGGCGACATAAATTATAAAAATTCCACTTAGTAACTCGATAACAGACACGGATGGGACGATTCTACCACTTCTTTGGGGAATAGTCTCTTTTTATTCTTGATACTCCATAATATTACCTAGGTCCACACAGCAAGAAATGCAAGTGCTTTTAGCAATGAACTCTCTAAAGTTCAAGAAAAACGAACTCTTCAACTGCAGGCACTTTTCCAATCTTCTGAAGTGTATCCTTATCAGGTTCTTCATCTACTCCAATTGCCATTATGGCTTTTGTCCTCTTAGCAGTTCTTCCCACACTCATAAAGCTCACATTCACATTCCTCTCTCCAAGGATGTTTCCGACTCTTCCAATCATGCCCGGTTGGTCTACTTGACGGCATAATATGAGATTTCCATCCAGACTGACATCGACTCCAAATGATCCGACACATGTTAGATGAGGTATCTCATACTTAACTCTCCCTTCAATGCTAATGTTTCCATTCTCTGTCAAAGCACTTGCAAATTTTGACTCCACGTTACTTACCTGTACCTGGATTGAGTCGATAGGATTCTCAGATGACGAGTCCACCAAAACTCGTTCCTCACTAATTCGGAGACCCTTTTGCTTGGCAGTGAAATCAGCATTGACGAGGTTGATATGGGAGTCGGATATAGGCTCGATAATGCCTTTTGTTATCATGGCACGGAGAAGTCTGGTGTCCAAGTTATCCGGATCCCTAGCTGATTTGTAGACCACCTTCACAGATTGAATTCCGCTCCCTCCAGCAACTAACTGTACAGCTAGCCTACCCAGTTTCTCTGCTAGTGTAACATAAGGAGCTAATTCCGATAAAACCTGAATACAGAAATGGGAATCTTTTATTATTCAACTAATGAAGTTCAGAAGTAATTGATCCAATGAAGCATATGTAGATAGTAACTTGTTTTAGGTTTTTTTCTTTTTGTTTTTTTACCTCAGGAGGAACCATAGGAGCATTGACTGCAGTAGCAGAAAGTTCCCCTCTCAGTGCACCTACAACTGCCTCGGCAATTTCGATTGCGACTCCTTCCTGATTTGTAAGTATTAAAGTTAGCGGCTCAGATGACATGCAAATGATGCAACGTCCACAAGAAATTCATACCTGCGCTTCCTTTGTGCTTGCTCCAAGATGTGGTGTAACAGTAACATTCTCGTGTTGCACTAATTTGCTATCTTTAGTTGGGGGCTCCTGTGTGAACACATCAAGTGCTGCCTAATATATACCATGATGCACAGAAAATCAGTTTCACATAGAATTAACAAGGTCTTCAGGAATTTTGTCACCTTATTGGAAACAAAAAATCCATTATATGATGTATGAAAAAAGATGCAAAGTTACTGTTAAAATTTTAGAATATGCCAAACAGAGACAACTAGGCTGAAACAGAGTAGTAGTAACTCGTAAGGTCATTTCAGTTTTTGATAAAGCAGTAGGTCAAAAAATTTGGACAAAATGTGGAAATTACTCTCAAAGAGTATACCTGTGCAACTGTTCCATTTTCAAGGGCCCTCACTAAGGCATCTTCGTCGATAACACCGCCTCGAGCTACATTTATGATGCGGACACCCTTTTTCATCTTTGAAAAGGTTTCATCATTAAATACCTTGTTAGTTGTAGGAGTAAGAGGCATATGGAGTGAAATGAAGTCTGCAGTGGAGATGGCCTGATCAAAAGAGACCAACTCAACACCAATAGCACGTGCCCTATCCGCTGGAGCATAAGGGTCATGTGCAATAACATGCATGCCGAGTCCTTTTGCGCGTCTTGCAACTTCAGAACCAACCTTACCAAATCCCATAATTGCTAATGTCTTCCCAACCAGAGAAACACCAACATACTTGTTGCGTTGCCATTTTCCTGTCAACGTTTAATGAAGAAATAATCAACTCATATGCAATCAGTTTTGCAAGACAAATGATTTGAAATAAAAAAGACATTGGATCAATTATGATTGAAATGTGCAAAGAACTGTGAGATGCCCCAGAACGAAGGTCAATGAGATTGAAATATGCAACTGTGCAACGACTTAAGGGTTATCTCAGGCTAAGGCAGAAAATTAACAACCAAAAAATCTAGTAAGCCAGATCAAGATATTTACTTTTTCCTCTTTACTCTCAGACTTTGCTCAGCAAGCTTACAGATCTAACCAATTCGATGAATTAGTCCTAAAGGTTCACAGCGAACTAGTATTGACAGTAGCAAAAATATGACGCAAATCCATAGCCATTTAAGTGGTGCTGATTATTCTCTGTTTAGCAAATTAACTCAAAAAGATAGATAAAGAATAAACAGAGAACTGAACACACAAAAGAATTGAAATATATATATACCAGCTTTCATGGAAGCATCAGCTTGTGCAACATTTCGCGCCATGGAAGCAAGTAAAGCAATGCCATGCTCCGCCGCAGCAATGGTGTTGGCGGTGGGGGCATTGACCACAAGACACCCAAATTCCGTCGCCGCTTGCAGATCCACATTATCGATGCCAACACCAGCCCTACCAACCACCTTAAGCCGCCCCTTCGCCGCCTCAAAAACCTGTCTCGTAACCTTAGTCCCACTCCTCACAATCAACGCATCACACAACGAGATCTTGGCACACAATTCATCAGGGGACAAGTTATACGAACACTCAACATTCCCGAAGGTTCTTAGCAAATCCAGACCCGCTTCTCCGAGTTTTTCGGATACAAGGATTGTGGGCCTTTCAGTTTTGACAACGTTGTAGGGATCCCGGGTTCTTGACAGCAATTCGGACTTCGATTCGAAAGTTTCGAGGACATTGAATATTGGTGTTTTTTGCAGTTTTCTCGTAAAATGGGAACCTTTAACGAGCGACAGTTTTTGAAGGGAAATGGATGAATTGGAGAATGAAAGGCGCTTTGAAAAGATTGATTTTTTCTGGGAATCAACCTTTCTTGTGCTGAAATTGATGGGATTTTTTGCTGCACGAGAAATAGAGCTGGTAGCCATGTTTCTTGGATCCTCCTGGTACTCTGCGTTCAAAAGTTGTTGGAATAGGGAGAGTTAGGAGGAGGAGATTTAGAGCGAGAATCCTAATTGTCAGCAGATCTTTAAGATACAAATAAATACATGAGATACGTATATTTTCAGATGTTATTTTACATTTTCACCCTTCTCTTTATCATACATCATAATCACGGTAGTTGTTGGACTATGACAAATTAATTGCACAAAG